TACATACATACATACGAGTAACCACTTTGCATTTTGCCATTTTACAACATTGCCTTTTGTGTCAAATTCAACACTCTTTCTTATATTTTTTTGGTTTTATTTACATATATTTTCATGCCGCAAAAATAGCAATTTTAATGTAAAGTGTGTCACGACGCCACTTTGTCAACGCAAATGAGAAACGACGCTCGCTAACTGACTGACTGACTGCCTGCAAAGCGGCTCAGCGTACATAAAAAATAACAAATAAGTAAAAGAAAAAATAAAAATAAATTGTTTAAAGCAACGTGTGGGCACTTCAACTACAACCAAAAGTTGCTTTGTTTGTTTATCCGCCAACGGGCTGTCATAATTTGGGATTCAAAATAACATCTTCGCAGCTTAAATGATTTTGCATTGAGAGGCTCAGATGCAAACACACACTAACAATTGGATGTAGGCATTCATTCACAGCATTCAATGTCTTTTGCGAAGTGTGTTGGCGCTGAAAGTGAAACTTAGCATTTGTATGCGGCCGCCGTTAGCCGTCCGTTTACTTTCAGTTGTCACTGTTGAACTTTGGTTATCTTTCAATGTTTGGCAATATGTTTTCTTGGTTTTAATTATTTGAACTTCCTTTCATAAAACCATTCACTGCTTCAATGTGTTTGCAAACGATTGTTGGCGAACAATTTGTAATAAATATTAATATTTGTTAAATATTTAGTATTCCCTTCACCGTGTGTGGGTCGTGTGAAGGCTATACGGTGCAGCAATTTTTCGTAGTTTGTTTGCTAAAATCTGTGCGATTGCGTAATTCTATTGACAATTTTTGATGCGTGCAGTTAAAAATTGAAAGAAACTAAAAGAAAAATTATTTGCTTACAAAAATTACGAAAACAGCACCAATGGTTTAAAATTTTTTGTTACCTTTCACAACTTTCTACAAATATTTATTTAACGTTGCTGTGAGTTTTTGCCATTGAGTGTTATGAGTTAGAAAAATATTTGTTTTAAAGTGAGAAAATTAGGTTTATACATACTTATATGGATAAACGTAACAAAATTCAACTTTATGTTCAGGAAAAATCAAGAAAATGAAAAAAAAATAAAACTTGTGGAAATTTCTGAAAAAAAGTTATAGCTACAGCTAAAGTCTCAAAAGTTTTTTATTGAGTGTTAGGATCTTAAATTATAAAGGTTTCGTAACAAAAACACAAAATGTTTTTAAAATGAGAAGTACTTTGAAACTTTTATTCGCATCCCAAATCGATGAACGTTATCGTATATGAAATTTTCATAGAAGGCAGGTAGCCGCAAAATATTTAGCTTTCACACTCAAAGTACAAACATAAGTCCTTAGAACATTCTGTGTACTAAAATGTCGAAATTTTTTTTATGTTCTCGTATCTTTTTCGCACAAAAAAAACTTTATGTTGCTTCGAAAAAAAAATTTACAGTACGAGTATTATTTAGTTATTATTTGAAACAGTTTTTCAATAAAATAAAGGAACTTGGTAAACCTGTTGTGCATCCCGCCATGATCTAACAAAAGCCACGTAAAACCAAATGACTAACTTTGTACAAAAAATAAAAAAAAAAATCGACTAAATTACATAACCACAATTTTCTAGTTTAAAGTCTCTACAAAATACCGTTGATTTTTGAGATTTATTTTTGGTGACTCTGGCACACATTTTCACCACCGCGAATTCTTAGCCTCCTGAAGTTTGCACTTTATTAGGCTTAGAATTTTTCTTCAAATTTTGAATAAAAAGTTTGTTGTTGTTGTGAAAACTTGTTGTATTTTTCTAGCAAGTATGAAATGTGGATTTATAAGGTTAAGTATTATATATTTAAATACAATATAATTAAAATATTATTTAACATTAAACAAAAAATTTCCTGTGTCTATAGAGGGCTACCGAGATGGGCGCGCTAGACGTTTTTGTTTAAATAATTTCTAATTAGTTTGAATATATTACATGCTGCCAAAAACTTAACTTTCACTTTAATTTAAATGCTAGTTGAAAGGCTCGATTTTTTTTGTTTTCAATAAAAAAATATGCCAGTTAATAAAAACTCTCAATAAAACTTGAACCAAACCCTGACAGTTAAAAATGTTTGCCTGATACAATTTTGAGTTTTTTTTCCATTTCGAAGCAATAAAAAAATTTTTATTCAAGCTATTCTGCAAATTATTTTAAATACTAATTAGTATGTTTAGCTATTCGAAGAGGTATGATATACGACTTAAAAAGAGGATTGCGGGCTTGACTAGTGAAGGGTAAAATTTCAGAAGTAAAATATTAAAAAAAAATGTGACTGAAAAACTCAAACCTTTTATTCATTCTAATTTTTGACTGCCTCTATTTCTGATACAAATTTTGATTAATTACGCTCCACACTTTTATGTCCTGTGACCCAGTATGTATATGTAGGTGAATAGTTTTTGGCTTGGATAATTTTCCAATTGTCTACTTAAAATTTATAACGATTTTCTAGTCAACATATGTACATAAGTGTTTATCCTTTAACTTGGCACACAGTGGTGCCAAATTTAAATTTATTGTTCAAAATATGTAGTCCAGTGCCTTAAGTTTTAATAATAATAAAATTTTGAAGATATATTTTAAATATTTTTTTCTGGAACGAGAAAATGCCCAGCATTTACATAAAAAATATTAAAAATCAACTAACTTCATAAACATACATCTTGAATCCAAGCTGACCTGAGCCTTAAAGTCTTGCACTAGTAGTAAATGCTGCATATGCTTTTAGCTAGTAAGTTCGGCAGTATAATGCATATGGAAAATAATTTATTTGAATAAATTAGTTGAATAAATAGTTAAAAAGAATTTGCTAATATATTTGCTTCCATTTTCGAGTAGTGTATAAAGAGAGAATGGTGTTTCATAAAAGATTAAAACTATGAAATTAATGACATTTGTATTTATATTTTCAAATATCCTGTTCGGCATTTATGAAATAATCAGTGTTTCGAAAATCGATTTTTTTTCATTCTTTGTGCAAAATTTTTAATACAGAAAAAAAGGTCCTGTCAAGAACGTAGCCTTCAGTACTGAGACTAAGAGGACGCTCATCGCGAATTTCTGTTCTGTTTCCATATATAGAACACAGGATCAATTTTTTTTTTTAAATTTTGAAATTTTATAAGTCCTTTTAAAAACAACGTATCGAAATGAGTGATACATATTTTTGAAGGAAATTGAAGGCCGTAAAAATCTCTTATAATTTTAGCATTAAACGTGATCCATTTGTTATTTTATTGAGTTGAATGAATGTTTTAAAACTAATTATTTTCTTAATGCTCCGATTATTATAATTTTGAGATAATTTAATGCGCTTTCTACACTTAAAGGTCTTCACGTTTCTTCTACAAAATACAATTTCTAAATGTTATTAAATGAATTATTTAATTAGTTTTTAAGTGGTCCCTAATTTTGTTTCTTTGTAATCTGTAAGAAATTTTAAGTTTTCTATATTTAAACAAGTTCAACATAAAAAATTTTAAATATTTTATCCACTTTATTTTATAAATTATTTTTTCATCAACAGTTTAATTAGAACAGGACTTAACGTACCTTTAGTTTTCATTTATTTATAAATTAAATTCACAGTTTTATTTTTTTTATTAATCTTTTTCAGAAATGTATGCTTTATAATTTAAAATTTCAGCCACATTCAAATTTTTAATAAACTTTTTGAAATATATATTTTTCTTTTTTTCTCGAAAAAAAATCAATTTTTGAATCGCTATAAAGGGATTTATAAAGTCATTAAAAATCATTAGTAATAAAATTAATAAATTTATCTGTAAAATTTAAATAATCAAATTCTATTTTAATTCTGATTTTCAGCTAATATTTAATTTTTATTTTACATTTATTTTGAATTTGAATTCGACGTAATATGTATGATTTTCCAATTAAAAACATTTTTAGAAAATTACTGTTATTTTAGCCGCTTAGGTATTTCAGTCGATTAACTTTGTGATTATTTGAGTTTTAAATATTTTGTATATGTTTTTATTCCTTTTGAATAGTGATAATTTAAGGCTAAGTAATTAAATTTCCGAGATTTCAAAAAATTTTAAATTTTTATTAAAATTTTTTACACAAACAGTCTTTTTGAATTATACAATTTCTTGTTACGAAATTTAGTTTAAAATTTTTAGATTCAGTTCGAGTTCAAAAAGTTTTGCTTTTATTCAAAATAAAAACTGTAGTTTTAAGAGTTTTAATTAAATAAACGTATCTGCATTTCTTCAATTTTTAAGCTCATTGATTTTTTATTATTAAATATTTTTGAAATCTTTAATTTTCATTTTAATAAAATTCGAAACTTATTTCACTTTAAAATATTTCTGTAGTTTTTGGCTGATCTGGCTTTCGTTTAAACTTGATTAAATTTAAAATTTAAATTTAAAAAATTTTCAGCTAAATATTACTTTTATTATTTTTTTCCATAGTAAAACTCGAGCAAAATATTTTTGAGTTTTACGGTTAAAAAAATTGTATTCAATTTTTCCACTTAAGTAGCACGTAAAATGTCGATTTGAAAAATAAATCGACAAAAAAAAATAAACTATATTTGCACCAAAGCTTGCTAATAATCTAAAAAAAGTTAGCCGCTGACAAGGATATTTGTGAAAAGCTTTGGTTTTAAAATTGTATTCTGTATTTTTAATTTAACTGCAGCTAATTTAATTACAAAAATTTATTTTCACCATTAAATTTGTAAAAATGCTAAACTTTAACGTGAGGCTATCTAGCGCTTTTTCACTCAGCAAATTCGATGCAGAAAGAAGTAAAAAAGGTCTGAGTTAAAAATCTACTTTCAGGGTAGTTCGTTTATCCTGCAGCTCCTTTCATAAAAAAATAGCTAAGTACAATTTTCACAACAACTTTTAACGCCCATTTTGCGTAGTGTTTTATATAATTTTTTTTTTACAAAAATTAATTTTTTCGACTAAAATTAAACAAATAATTTTTGCTCACCATTTCTATCTTGCAATCGATTCCGAATTTAATACATTCTGTCACCAGCTGCGCGCTACTCCACACACACAGCGAGACACACGCTTTGACGAGACACAGTTAAATTCCAAATCGCAATTTGATTTCCAAATTGAAAAGTTCACTTTGCTTGGGGGACAGCGCTAATGCGCTTTGCACAAATTTTCTTAAGCGAACAAACGCTGTTTCAGACTTGTTTGCACTTTGCTCTTATGAAAATGAAGTAATTCTTTTTCTTCTCCAATTGTATTATTTTCTAACGCCGAAGAATTGATTCGAGTTTGCGCATGCGCAAATAGAAACTTTCACTGCAATAATATATCAAGATTGAACAGAAAAGTGAGGATTAAAATTTTTTGAACACAAAACGCTTGATTGAACACAAGAAATTTTTGCTTGCAATTTAGAAATTTGCTATGCACGGAGTTCGGAGGGCAGACAAATCCTCCGACTTGCGATTGCAAATTTTTCTATGAACACAATTTACTTTAGCTTTGCTTTGAAATTGCGCGATTTTACGGTCAACTACGCTGAGTTATTTAAGAATTTATTTGCTATATTTTCACTTTACAAAAATATATATTTAATTTTCTAACACCACAGCTCAAAGGCTTGCTTGAGCTACTACACTTTTACATATATATATGTATTAGATGTATGTATGTATGTATATATGCACTTAAGTGAATTGGCAGTTGAGTATGTATATATGCACTGTAGTGAAGTGTATATGACACGCAAACGCAAACGTCCGTTCAAAGCAAAGAGAGAGATCCGCACCGTACGCGCGCTGTTGGCGAACTGAATTTACAAAGCTCCAAGTTGGCACCTCGACGCATCGAAAGCTAAGCGCACAGCAAAATCAGCCAAGCGAGCAGCCAACTTGGCCAACTTAGTCTCAAGTTAGTCAGCGCTGCGCGCAAGTTCGCTTAGGCCGCAGCGGTTAAAAAGAGCGCGGCGAGAGTGGCGAGCGCGACTTAGCCACTTGGCATCACAGTGCTATGGATACAAAGGCGAGTATGCGCATTTGTAGATATGTATGTTTGTGTGGCTTGGTGTGTGTGTGTGTGTGGGTTTAACGGTGTGTATTTCTGCACTTGAGCGCACCTTAATTTTTTTGCTTTTTTGCTTTTGCTAAACGTACACACACACACACACAGCCAAACCAACAAACATACACACATGCATAGCCAAGTAGAAAGAAGTATGCTTGTATGTGTGTGTTTTTGCTTTTTTTTGCTTGCTGATATTTGCCCATTTGTTGTTAGGCAACAAATGCTGACTTCTTAGCCTACGCGCTCAACCCGCGCAACAGGCCAAAACGAACCGAGCCAAACCTGTGGTCCATTTTTGGCCAGCGCCGTCTACAACTAACTACTACCACATTTGTTTTTTTTTTTCAGTTTGCTTCAACTTCTTCTTTTGCGGCGGCGCCCACTCCTTTCGCTAACCGCTGTTCACGCTGCTCACGGATATACATGCGTACATATATTTCTTTAGCTTCAGCTGCTTTTGCATTAGCGCGCTAATAAAAGCCAATCATTTTTTTTTTTTAATTTGTCGTTTCCTTGCAGAGGTCGCAGAAAATCGCTTAAGCGATTATTTTTTTCTTCTTTCGAGTTTTTTCTTTGATAATTTTCCACTGTTGCTCTGGGTATTTTTTTTTTTTTTTGGTGAAACAAGTTTATTGCCGTAATTTCTAGAGTAGGCTGTACGGAGTGGTGTTAGCTGTGGAGGAGGAGTAGGCAACAAAAAAAAAACCAAGAGGAAGAAGCAGCAGCTTAAGCTACAAAGCCATTTGTTCGCGCTACATTTGATCATCGCTGCGCGCTGCTTTTTCGTATTTATTGGACATCTTTAACGCGCCCACTACTGGCAGCCAACGACACCCACATATCAAAAATTGGTAAATGATGAGCAATGAACAATTTTTTTTTGCCTTCAAATTTCGTTTATGGAGACAGGTACAATTTTTCTTTTCTCAAAAGAGTTGCTTGCAGAGGTTTTTTTTTTTTTTAGACAGGTGACTTTCGTTTGCATTACGCCATAGGCCAAATGTCAGTTTGTCTTTGAATTATTGGATTTTGGGGCTTTCCATTTCACAATTTTTGAGATGGCGTGGAAAAAAAAAAATAATAATAAAAAAGGACTTAATAAAAAAATTACAAAATTTCAAATTTAAGGAAGTTGGACTCTAAAAACAAAAACGAATAAAAATTCAGAAATTTAGAAAAAAATGTCGAAAATATTTTGAATGCATTTTGCTGCTCTTAATTTCATGGGTTTTAAGATAATGTACAAAATTAAAAAAAAAACTTAAAAAAATTAAAGAAAATAATATTTGCATTAAATTCAATAAAAAACATACAAAATTTAAAAAAATATTAAAAAACCGAAAAAAAGATTGAAAATAGTTAAAAAATTAAGAAAATTTAAAATTAAAAAAAAAATGTTAAGCAAAAAATGTATGTTTACGTAATATATAGACCGTTAAAGAAGAATAAATAAATCCTTTCTGCTATTGTCATACCAACTGGGATGTTCATACTCAGCGCCGTTAGTTATCAGTTGCTAATATTTCTTTCTCATTTTGCTACTTCACTGCACTGAGTCTAGCCTTGCCCATTACAACATCAACTCGCACTGCTTGCACAACTGGAGTGAAGGAAGTGAAGCTAAAATTAGAATTCCACATACTAACGAAAATTTTAGACGCCATAGCTTGCAGAGGCCTTTTCTGCTTTAGAAAGAATCACTGTTTTCGTTTCCATAAAACCCTTCATGAACTGTGACATACCACAAGTTAGTCTTTTATATGTTCCATATTAATTTAGAAGAGTCTTTCAAGAACCAAATGCCCTCAGCAGTGTTCGTTGATTATAAGTCAGCCTGTGATAGTACCAGGAGGAGCTGCTCCTTTAAAGAGTAGTCATTTTACTCCCACTAAGTTCAAGAAGATGGATTTTGCAATGAAGTAAACATAATGAATACAATTCTATCTTCTTACTTCAATAATTTCTGTTACTATTCTAGCGTTTATTGGCTTCTGGCGATGTAATTTTCATGTTGTTGCATATGAAAGTTAAGCTTCATAAAAAAAGGAGAACAAAAATTTTTTTGTATTAAAGTCTTCGATGAAACAGAAAACAAAAAGAAACTATAACTCTACGTTAAATAAATACAGCACTATTTGATATGATTTGTTTGTCAGCGAAATATTAACAGTAAAGCATACATTTTCTATCGAAATATATATATATCAGTAGAAACTTAAGCTTTGCGATTATTTCTCAGAGAAGTCTTCATCACATTTTCATTATCTTCAAATCACTGTTACAAAAGTACATATTTAGCGCATTGCCATAAAACAATAAAAGTCTACTGGTGCCTTGCAGTGCCAGCAAATTTAACATGACTATGAAATAATAAAAGACTTAAGCGACAAACTTGCCATTTATGCCAAGGTGGTGAATAATATGCAAAGCTTTAGAACAACGCAAAAAAAAACGTTTAAAATTTGATACATTTCTATAAAGAACAACCGCTATTTGCGTCAGCTGTTGCGGCTCGTGTGTCATACTAGCTGCTTCTATATGAATGTGTGCATGCATGGACAACGAAAGACTTAAGCCACAAACCTGTTCAACTGGAAGTGCTAATTTATTGCATTTGGGCGCTTGTGAAATCAATTGAAATGTGTGTTAATGAGTGGTTTAGTATTAAGCATTTAAAAATATTAAGCTTTATTTAGTGATGGATTTTTAAGCCGCTAAAAAATTGAAAAATTGAATTTGAATTAAGTAAGTACTCATACATAAGCCACTAATTGTAGAATTTCATGAAAGACAATTGTAAAATCTTTTCGATTTTAGAACAAAATTAAAAAATGCAGGCCATACAGAAAAATGTATTTCCCTCTGACTAAATGTTTTTCAGTCTCTAAATAAAATCAAAGGAATCTATGTGTATATGAAACACGGGTGAAGTAGAATAAATTATAATTTGGTTTGAAATCTCGACTTTACAAAGTAAGAACAGAAATCTGTGTACAAGTCTGCAATCACGAAAGCTAAGAGAAACTGATAAAGGGCTTTTAGCAAAAACGTGAAAAGTGCCATTAAAATACCAGTTTCAGATGTGTTTTTGCGAAGGGTTACTTAAAAAAACCGAGGCAGGGAACTGGTACAACGGAAAATCAGAGGTTTCTTAGGCTTTTCTTCGATAATCCATTTTTTTGTAATCCTGAAAGAAGAGTAGCCCCAGACTGCGTGACGAGGACTCTCACGCTACTCAAAATGATCTAAAAGTCTACGAAAAACTCCTACTTATACTCGAAAAAATGCTTGGCTACCGAGTTCGCTGTACTATCGATAAATGGTCGATAAAGTGGTCTGTAGATGATGGACATGGGTGAGCTTAAGATCGCTAAGCTTGGTCAATAACCAAATATTTTCATCTCTTACACAGACTGTTTTTAGAGCAAAATTAAATATATTTTTGCTCTTACCAATCAAAATTCTAAAAAAGCGGATTTTCGGCCCACGCTAATGCACATCCATCTCAATTTTGTATGAAAAATTTAATTTCAATCCCCAAGGGTGGAAAACGGTCAACTGAAATTATTTTTTATGACCATATTCGTTTTNATGCACATCCATCTCAATTTTGTATGAAAAATTTAATTTCAATCCCCAAGGGTGGAAAACGGTCAACTGAAATTATTTTTTATGACCATATTCGTTTTCAGCGTCTCCAAAAAACCTATAAATAGTGGGGTCTGCCATGTGTTTTTGTGTGCTCCTGTGTTACTAATATATTACTACTTTTGGATTTTCCATCTAGAATTTTCTGAGACCTATTTTTTGGTGTTTGGTATGTTCACAAAAGTGATGGCCTTAGATATTCTGAACAACTTTGCCGAAGAAATCAACCAAATAAAAGTAAGAAACCGTAAAGTAGGCTATAATAACTGAAAAATTTCCATTGGAGAAAAAGTTAAAAAGAAAAAATATTATTAGAAAGGCGTGCAGAAAACTTGAAAAAGTGAGTGAATTCTGTCTCTCTGTCTATGTAATTTTTTCGGTACTGAATTTTTCGATTTCCATAAAAAATTAAATATTTGCACTGAGCTAACACACAAGAATCTCCACCCAAACCCAGTGCTGATCATCCGACCTGCAAATTTTTAATTTCAACATTATGAAGTCATTTCACCGCCTACTTTCTTTCGCAACATTCTGATTGACATGTAATTAAAAATTACAACCGTCTTTCAACTGTGCATACACATACATAAGTAGTATATATGTCGTAACTCTTTTCTGGCAGCGCATTTCTACTTCTTTGATGGCATTTCACTCGCCAGTACCCCATTGCTTGGTAAGTGGCAGAGGATATACACTTCCTTTACACGTCACTCAGAGCCGTCAGACGCAATGCTCTGACTATAAATTTCACATTGGTATGGACATTTTTGATATGTGTGGCAGGTCGCCGCAGTACGTGCCACACATACAAATTTTCTGTATTTTTATCGAACTTTTCAGGCATGTTGCACACCACTAAGAAAATATGGAAATTTGCAGGCAATCGATGCGTATAGATATGGTAAGTATAATGTATTTTGTAAACAATTTTGTGACTAACTCCCCCCTACAAACTAAAAAGGAAGAAATACGCAAGCGCTATGCTAAAAGCACACTGATATGCATACGCGTATAGCTGGTTATAAATTGTAGGCACACAATTTTGTGGCATGCCACATATTTAGTCGTACGCGAACGTT